GAAGCCCTGATGTCTGCCGCAGTGGGAGCCGATTTCCACTTCACATCGTATCCTTTCCACTGTTCCTTTCTCCTGCATGGAGGCTTAAACTCTGATTTGTGGCTCTGGGGATTTGGAGTAGTCCTTTCATGTTGAGGCCACAGGTTTGACTTCAGTCCAAGTCCCTAGTTCTGTTACCTGTCATGTTATGCTATGCATGCAGTGATTTGAGAGGTAGTTTACCTGTTGGTTTGAAGTCAGGCAGAAGGCAGCACAGAGTGACACCTTAGAAACTAGTTCAGAACTGCACTGAGTTATGAGGGCTCAGCCCAGGACCTAGTGGACAAGAATGTACATCAAATCTGCCATGATCACATTAGGCGCTCTGATGTCCTGCATGTGGAGAGCTCTGCCTGCTTTTTTCTAATTCAGACTCCCTAGAACATATCCTTCCTATTTTGCCCAAACTATGTAGTTAGTTGGTTTGGACCTTTATTTTTCTTTTCTTTTTTTTTTTTTGGATTAGCCGGAGGTATGAACTCCTCGGCCATTGTATCCTCTCACCAGTGCTGTTAGCTCCTGTGGCAGTTGTCAGACTGATGTTAGTGCTTCCCTGTCTCAAGGGTTTCCTGAGCCCCAGCCCCTCTTACTGCCTCATTTTCCTTGACTCCAGGGTAACCAGCACTCTTGCTGTGCAGGAGAAGTATGTGCAACCTCAAGAGAAAACTGTGGAAGAAGAAGCAATGGCAATATAATGCTCTTGCATCCATTCTGTAGCTTATGGGAAGGGAGCTTCTCCAACATCATAACACCTCTCTCATTTTCCCATCAAGAGTGGGTGAAGCCCTCTGTATGGCTGACACAGACCTGGTAGCTGCTGAGTAGTAGTTTGGCTCTTCAGTTTCCTCGTCACAAAGGTGCAGCACAACCTGGGGGTTTTTTTTGGATGTACAGTGAGACCGGGAGCCTCCACAGCTTCAGGGCAAGATGAATTTAAGAGCTTCTTTCAGGAACAAGAGACTTTTAGGCCAATGCAGGCCTTTGCCGGGTGAAGAAGAGAAGAGACCTAGGAGAACACAGATGTGGAATGTCTCCTCTGTCACACCAGGAACAAGTCCAAATAGGAGGATTTGCTGTAGCAAATGGAGCTGCTGCTTGTGGCACCGCTTCACTGTTTGCTGAACAGGTCACCTGGGTTCTTGCAGGTTGGGAGTGCTGCTGTCTCTCTTCATCCCTGCTTGCACAGGGCAGAGAGCTTTATTTATGGTCAGCTCTTTAATAAAAGCACTTCCCTGCCTCTCTGTTTCCCCCTGGGTTTACTAGTTGGCTATAACCTGCTCTGAAACAGAGAAAATAAAGTGCAGGAATGCTGCAAAGCATGGAGGATGCAGATCCATGATTGAGACCTTTTCACCAGCTGCTAAGTGTTTCTGTAGATAACCCTTTTATCGCACCACTTCCAGGAGAGCATAGAAGGAAACCAGCGTATGTAGGGTGGGATGAGGTGAAAGCAGATCACTTGCTGCACTGTCTGTGCCAGTCAGCGGGTCCTGTCTCCTTGCTCTGCATGATTGAGGCTGTCAAGGTCCCACTGGGAGCTTTGCACAGAACATATCAGGGGCTCATAAGCTTGTGAGTGGGGAAGAGCCTGTGCGAGTCCACACACGAATGCAACTCCTCAACCACAGCAGTTATATCGTTCCAAATCTCTGCCATAACCTCTTTCTATCTCTGGGTTTGCTCTTTACAATGGGTTCTCACCTAATACTCTGCATCTCCCCTGAAGGAGGCTGTTTAAGCTGGTGATAACCAATTGGCCTGTTCAAAGTAGTTTACCAGTGGAATGATCCTAAGGCCACCCCTGGGACAACTTGAGTTAAGACCTCTGGGGCAGCCTGGAGTTGAACTCAAACTGGCAGCCAGCTGTGTTTGTCTTTGTGGCTATTCCAGCCTGGCCTACTTCTCTCCCATGAGCCAGCCTTTGCAGAGAACACATCTTCTCTTTTGCAGAGAGGACCTGGCTTAGGAGGCCAGTGAATGTTTTCTTTTTTTACAGTTTCATAACACTGCACACATGGTGAAACTGAGGCATTGAAAACGCCAGAGTTTCAGCAGCCAAGCAGTTCTCACAGGTGCAAGGTCTTGGCTTGCAGTCCTGTGTTCAAACCATGGATCTCCCAGCTCTTCCTGACTGAAATCTTGCATAGTTGCTTGTGGAGCAGAATTTAGCAGGTTTCCCGTGCTTCCCCCCCCCAGTCTTTCCCCCCAACAAACTCAGCAAATGAAGCTTAGACTAACACCTGGTAGTGAAAATGGATGTGGATATGGCTGTGACTTGCTAAAGAGTGAGACCTGTCTAACAGAGAATCAACTAGGCCTTCCTGCCTTGTGGCTGAGGCTCAGAAAGCACCTGAGCTGGAATATTTATGGGGAGGGAGGAACCAATGCCCCCATGCCCACACATAGCTAAGCATCCATAGATAACCTTATAGCCTGTGACATGAAGTTTAGCATTTGAAACCCAAACGGTCTGCCCCATAAAAGCGAGCTTTTCAGAAGCTTTCCAGAAAAGTAGGGTCTTGCCCTGGTGTGTTTGCTTATAATTCCCATTCCCCAAGCTGTTATGCACTGGGTGGTAGGACAGCTGTCTGCCCCAGAGCTGGCTGCATTTCAGCAATGTCTTATGTGTATGCTCTGAAGAATACCTACTTGTAATTAAGACAGAAACTCCATCTTTTTCTCATCCTACGTCTGTGGTTCACGGGGTAGATAAACTTACGTGCTCTGCTGTGAACTAGGGCTAGCGTAAAATGGAAACAGGTTGACTTTGAGATATTTGACAGTTTAAATGGGTATTATTCGATCAAATGTGAATAACCAAAGAACTATAGCTACATGTTTATTGCTACTTGAAGTTTTTAAATGCCCAGGGCAGCAGTCTTTTCTTTAATATGCCCCCTATCCAACCCGGGAGAAATGCAGGGTTCAAAGAATCATTGTGAAAAGAAAAAGGTCCATGTCCGTGCTCTAAAATGTTCTCAGGAAGCCGCGTGAATTGTAACTGCTGCCTACCCTCTCAGAATACTCTGTTATTTCCTTTCCAACTTCTCGTTTTCTTTTTGCCTAACCAGCAGAAGTTGGTCTTCCTGCTATCTCATCACTGCATCAGTAAGTTGAGTGTGGTGTAGAACATCTGTCCCAGCACATGGAGGGTTTAGGACCCGGGGAGATGGATGCGAGTGGAGAGAATGTGGCCAGAGAGAAGCAATGTCTCACTTGGGTATTGGAATTTTCTCATTAGGTCAACCCTGAAATCACAGAGGGGGAAGACTCCAGCTGTGCAATCATCAACACTATACGGCAACAGTCCCCATCAAGAGCAGTAAGAGATGGCTCCAGTTCGTGAGCTAGGTGAGTCAGGCAGGGAGTGTGCTGCAATTACATTGTTCCACTGTTATCGCTGCCTAGTTACAGCTGTTGTTGCTGACATCAGGGCTGGCCCGCCGTAATGGGGTGATCATGCTGGTAAAAAGCCAATGGGGGCATGCCACTGTTGACATCTCTTGGTGCAAGCTTGGCCTCCTGAGCCCTTGGTCTGCAGTGTACACGTCAAAGTCCAAATTACTGGGCAACAAATGCACCGTCGGTGAGGACACAAAATGGCACCCAGCACGTATGAATAGAGCGGGAGCGACCGACTCCCTTCCTGTCTCTGTCCTCTGGGAATAGAGTCCAAAAAATTGTGGGGTTGGGAAACTCATGGTAGTAGGTGGGCAAGGGATGTTCGTGGGCTACCTGCATCATACAGCTGATGCTTCCTGGTCGCAGGACAGGGTTCTCTTCAAAGCACGTCTCTAGTTAGACAAGGCCTGGTGGGGGGTAAAAGACCGTAACAGTTTGATATAATCTACAAGCTGTGGTGCCTCCAAAAGTGCTGCTGGGTGTCTGCCAAGCCCCTGCCTTCCCGGCTGCATGTACTGACGGCGGCAAATTCCTATGCGTCCACCCCCTCCCGAACCTCCTTTTGCACGTACCCCTGAGTTCGATGTTTGTCGACAAAGGAGCCACACTGGCCTTCTGTGGACACCCATGTGTGAAATAGCTGCACTCCTGGAACTCAACCTTGTTCCTGCTTCCCTGGATCATTTTAAGTCATGCCCCTAAAATGGAGCCATGAGTTTTTAGCAGAAAGCTGCTGCAGCAAGCTCATAGCCTTGAAATGGCCCTTGGAACAGAAGGGGGCCCCAGTTGGGACGCTTATTTGTTTTGCAGGCAAAGATCAAATGTGGTGGATTGAAGTCTATTTGATGAATAAGATCTCACAGAAAGTAAAGCGTGAGCTCGCTCTCTCCCTCTTCAGGGGCATGCTAAATTTGACCTGCTTTCAGGTCGGGGAATAGTGGTCCCTGCTATTAATGAGTCTGTTTGGTCATTCTTTGCCTAATTGTGGCTTTGACTGTGGGACAAGTGGGAGGGAAAAGACTGTGAAGAAAATAGAAACCCAGAATCACACTAGTTAGTAGCTGGAAAACTCTTTCCTGGAGCTCATGATCTTCCCAACAAGAGCGGGCTGTAGTCCCTGAACAGGTAACACAATTTATTTCAGGGCATCCCAATAGGTTTTGTTGGTTGCTGTTCTCCTTTCTCAGCGGTTATCTGGGAAGGATCGGGATAATACAAGGAGTTTTGGGAGTGGAGGTAGGATCTGGTCCCCAACTAGGTCACCTGCTAGAACCCAGAGGAAGTCCTCTAGGCCTGGGCCTGATGGCTTGTTACGGGTATGGATGAGGGCCTGTGCTACAATCTGAAGTGATTTGCTGAACTTCAAAGGATCAGCATGCAGTGGGCTGCTTAGTTTAGAAGAAACTTGGGCTTGGTACCAGTTCTCATAAGGAAGGAGAAGGAGTGCTAGGCTGATGATAAATCCCCTATGGCCAAAAGATTGCATCTCAGGCTTCCTTTTGCTTCCCATGCAGAAGCTCTAGGAAGATTTCAATCTGGGGCAAAAGAAGAGCAGGAGCTTGTTTTCAAAAAAGGTTTATTTACAAGCAAAGTTCTACACAGATAATACACAGAGCTTGGCGGGGCCCCGGGCTGTGCATGCTTATATGTTCTACCCCTTGGTGGGTCTCTTGCTTGCATGAGATGACATGTTGCCTGGATGGATTGTGATCTTCTGGAGTCTTGAGCGGTAGGAAAGAACATTCATTTGTTCAGATATCTTTCAAGGCAGCCAAGATACATTTGTCGTCTTGGGTTTCCAAACTCAGAGGGAAAACAGAGTCTCTCCTAGAAAGCCATCTCCTGGTTCTGTTGAGTGCAGAGTGCCACCTGAGTCATCCTTCAGTCACTCAGGAGGCTTTGTAGACTTCCATTTCGTGCCATGGCTGCTAAAGAGCAGTGAAATTGGAGAAGCATTCTCTTCTGGCAGAACGTTGCTCGGCACCAGTCTGAGAGACTCAGCGTTGCCTTGGGGGGGATTGAGCTCAGGTGCCCCTTGTGTTGCCCTCTGCCTGTTATCCTTTAAGAGGACAGGAGCCATCTTCTCAGCCTCAGTAACTCTGAGTGATGGTTGCCCATGTGGATGCCAGGCGAGCGATAGTGGAGTCGTACTGACTATCGCTTGCAGGTATCTCTGGCAGAAGAATGTTGTCATAGACTGGGGAGGGCGAGGGAGCTGGGAGAGTAGGGGCCATGCTGCTGTAAGAGACTGGAGAACCTCTCAAGAAGGGGGGGTTAGAGCTGGATTGGGGAGCAGGACTGATGGAGTTGCTGGTGAGGGGCCACAGGCTGGGATATTGGCTGAAAGGTGAAAACAAAGAACGAATAGTAAAAAATGGGGGCTGGAAAAGGGACTGCAGGAGGTCACATCTAGTCCACCCCCCTGCTCAAAGCAGGGGCAGCCCCAGCTAGACCACCCCAGACAAGGCTTTGTCTACCCAGGTTTTAAAACCCTCCAGAGACCCTTCTGGCCTTTAACACCCTGATTATGTTGCTCCCTGTCAGCTCTGTAGCTGATCCTTTCTCTCCTGGGCTTCCTTGCTCCAACACCCACTCAGTGAAGGAGTGAGAGGCTTCTGAGTACACTTTTCCTCATCTGTTATGTGCGCAGCAGGCTCAAGGGAGGGGGCCACAGCATGCAGGCTGGGCAGGACCCAGCTCTGTTGGAACCAGGTTATGAAGCCGGTCAGGAGCCATGTCTTAATCTTTATCCCAGGTGTCACCTGGGTTGAGTCTCTCCCCATGACACACCTTATTTCCAGTCCTTGGCAGGGGAGACTTGCAATGAAGACTGGCCCCTTCAGGACAGGAGAGGTTGTGCTCAGACCTCACCCTCTGCCTTTCCCTATCTATGGAGCGGGAACGGGAAGACCCCCTATGTCCTTAGCACAGGGTTGGAATTCAGTTTGCCATCTGCTTGACCTTATAGTGTTTAGCTCCTTCGGTGCTCATCTCCTTGCAAAATGCTTCTTGTAGTCTGCACGGCTGCCCCCTCTGCCTGTTATACCCCTTGCTGCTCTGTTCTGGAGGCCCCTTCCACCTGGTGACAGCTGCCCCACCAGCCCGTGCCTCTGTGTGTCTGCCATCTTCTCCCACAGCCATACCCCAGCGTTGCCAGAGCTCCTCTGCTCTGAGTTGACTTGCTCCCTAAAACCCCAAACCTACAGAGAGGGCAATGTGCTGGTGCCTGGCTTATAAACCAGCCTCTGCTTGGAGCCAGTCCTAGTGGCCATAGCCTCTGGGATCAACTCCTCCAGAGAGACAGGCCACCGTGGACCCTTATCCATGCTTAGAGGCCTTGATTCTTCTAAATCAGGATAAAATCTCTGTCCCTCACTGTTGAAGACACCAGAGTGGCTTTTCCTTACCTTGTGGTAGAGGCAGCGGTGGGTAAGACCCCGGTGGAGCTGGAGAGACTCAGTCCTGACCAGCTGTCAGGGGCAGGCAGCATGGAGAGGCCAGCAGAACTATCCACATAATTAGCTGGAGAGAAAGATAGATCCTTTATATGGAGAAGAAATCCTGATGTGCTGTAGTAGCAGTGACTTATGTGACCAGAATAGAGGGGTGGCCCCCTCCTCAGGAAGCCTGCCTGAGAGGTGGATGAGTGACACTAGGACAGGGCTGTGTGTTGTGTCCCCCCAGCCTTTACACTGGTGCAACTGTGTTGTATATCTGCACCAAGACAGGGCAGGACAGGGGGCTGTGCCCATGCGTGTGTGGGGTATTCTTACTTGGTGAGGCATTCCTCTGGCTGTAGGGACTTGGGTAGGGAGAGGGTCTGTGGCTCCGTAGGCTGGAGTACTGCTCGCAGTATGAGCTGGGGCTGGGTGAGAGGCCAGGACCCCCTGACAATGAAGTCTGGGCAGGAGAGGAGCAGAAGGGGCTGGTGCCTGGCAGGAACCAGCCCCCAACTGGGAAAGAAGAAAACAACAGTGTTAAGCCAGGACCCTTTCATCCACCGACAGTATCCCCACCAGAGACACCCTGGCAGGGCATGAATGCAGGGCAGAGACCTGGACTCCACTCAAGCAATGGCTGAAACACACAGATGTTGACCAAGGGACACATTTGGAGAAGAACCTAAAGCCCCTTCTCAAAGTGACGTCAGCGCTTAGCAGCCAAAGAGCAAATTCTCCAAGGTGCCTAAGAGCCTGAGTCCCAATGATTCCCCTTTGGATTCACACCAGCTGTCATCGAGCTGCTTTCGGCAGTGCCATGTGTCCTGTCCCATACAGGCTGATGGTATTGACTTGACACCACTTTGAGCTTAGAGGGACGAAGCCAGGGACATGTGCTGAGACAGCCTGACATAACTGAGAGCCAGTTTCCCATCCCATGGCTGGAGCTCTGGCCTGCTGTGCTTGGAGATCAGATCACACAGCTCAAAAGTGCAGATTCCCCACCTGAGGCAACTTCCAGTGCAGCTTTGAGGGGCTAAGGAAACCCAGGGCCTGACTGGAAAGTATCATAAAGAGCCCCAAGCTATAGGGACCAGAGCTCCCTTGACTCCAGGGGAGAGAGGGTGGGACCTTTGCACACTCCCACTGGGACACTAGATTTGGATCAGAAAGGAGACGGCTCACTCTGTGAATAGGCAGCCTGGGGAGATTCACTGCTGCTTTCGAGAACCTCTTTGGAGTTGCACCTAGGTGGAGAACACAGAATAGAAAGGCTTCAGTCAATAGCCAGCATCATGTGCTCAGCCATCATCTAAAGAGCATTGAGGCTTTGATAACCAGTGATCGCCCTGACTGACCTAGGCAGGAGCAGAGCAGATAGTGATGGGATCCCTGCTTTTTGTCCCTAGCTCTACCAGCAAGGGTTTGGGGTGGCCTTGAGCAAATTTCCTCAGTGTCGCCTGCTGTAAGGAGCGTACAAGGGGGTTGTTCGGTTTAATCTATCCCTATTTACCTGCAGGTTTGGCTGAAAGGAGCTGGAAAAGGGCCAAGAGTGCCAGTGATTCAGGTGAAGCAGCCATCTACACAGCACTCACCTCTCCTTGGCATCCAGGAAGGCTTTGGCAAAGGGATTGTGTTTAATCTTCAAGGCCGTGATCTGAAACGGGAAGGCATTGGCAGGCTGGGTTTAACTACAAACTGCTGCCCACTCTTTACCCCTTTTCACACCTCTTCTTCAACCCCCCCCTTCCTTCCCCACACACGTGCACATGCACGTGCACATGCATACGTGTTCTGCTCTTGGTTGCACTGGTATGAAACTGGAGGCAGCTCCATGGAAGTTTCTCTCGGGTGAGCATGGGGGAGCTGAGCAGTTTGGCCCAGGGATTCTGCTCTCTCAGTTGGATCTTGCCAAGTGACTTCTCACGAATTCTTAAGCCCTTGTTTTTACCCTGTGGAAACCTGAGCCGAATGCTTCTAGCTTCCTCCCTCTTGGTTATTGCAGGGCAGCTCACGGCTCCGGCACCAACGCTGCGATGTTTTATTTTGTATTAAGTGCTTGTCTGGGGCCTTTTTTATTCAAAGGACTTCACTGACACTGGCTAGTACAGCTGCTCAGCTCCTCTGCCCCTCCCATGGGGCACATGCTTATTATCCTCCTTGTTTTGCAACGGGGAAGCTGAGGCCTGCAGAAGGGAGTGACTTGCCCCTGGTTTCAGAGCTGGGAATAGCCCTCTCCGAGTTCCCACCCTGTGCTCTGCCGGTCAGGCCATGCTGCCCCAGTGCCTGCTTTTGGACTAACATTCAGAAGAGAAGCAGCGAGGGAAGGGAGAGGGATGGACAGGATTTAGAGTGTCCTCGGGGAGCGCTATGAAATTGCTGTGTTGTCACCTGGGCCTGATTGCAGTCCTGGCTTCCTGTGGGCTTTGCTGTGACTGCAATGAACACAAAGGACTGAGATGTCCAGCCTCTTCCAAGATCCTAGGAGTTGCCTTGGGGAGAGGTCCCAGTAGCAGAAGGGTTAATACCTCCTTTCCCAGCAGGGCCCAGGTGCTGAGACCGAGGGCTCTGGATTGCTCTCAGTGCAGACCCTGCTGCTGTGGCACTCGGTGACAAAGTTCCCACTGACCTGGGCAGCGGGAAGGGAATGCGCAAGATGAATGCACCTCTTCCTGCTCCCAGGACCAGGCCTCAGCTCCAGACCAGCTGGGTATGTGGTTGCTGGAGTGGATTTATGAGATGCACCATAAAGAGCATTCCACAGGCAGTGCTGACTCTGTGACGTGCCCTGAGGAGAGCGGGAATCTCTGGAGACAAGTGAGAGGGGAAAGGGGACAGTGACAGGACTGAGTTGTGCTTGGAAAGTTTTAGAAGGTGTTGGCTGATCACATTTTACTTCTTCACCCCCTGTCCCCAAGCACTGTGCTGCTAAACTGCCCCCACCTTCCACCTGAGAGGTGGCCACAGCAGAGTCTCAAGAACAATAGTCCATGAGTCTACAAGGGCTCCTATCCCCACCACTGTGCCCTTCCCCAGCGCCCTCCAGTCTCCTTTACCTCCTCGTTCTGGTAGGCAGTGACAGCAATAAACTGAGTTTCCGGGAAGGAAAAGCTGCTGATCGTTTTCTGCGGCCTCCCAACCTTCACAATGTGGACACGGGGCTCGTACTTATGGAGGGAGTTCAGCATGATCTGAGAGAGAACAGGCGCATTAAGCATTGCTCTGTGGGCTAGGCCTCGTCTGCTTGGGGCCTGATCTTTCAGTGCATGAGAGAAAGTGTGGCTGCCCAGGCTGGAGATGCCCCCACCTCCTCCACCCTGCTGCAGGCGCACGGAGCTTGTGCCCTGACAGAGCACTTTGGACACAGCAGCGGGGGCTTTTTCTCTGTTGGTGTTCTCCAGTCTGGGCATCAAGGAGCGCAAATTTCAGACAAACAGCATCCTTGGGCTGCTAACTTCCAGCTTGCCTGTTGCAGGACTGAGGCACTGGCTAATGCTCTGGCTACAGTAATGCTAATATTTTCATTTGGCAAGTGAAATAGGAACTAACTTCCTGCTTTGACCAACTGAGCTCTTCAGAGCTGTGCTCTGTCCCTCACCCCCAGGGCCCCTTGTCACAGTTACCTGCCCTCCTCCATTCATCTTGTTGGAGAGTTTGACTTTGCTGAAGGTGATGGCGGCTTTCATCCAGTGAGCCCCGAAGTTGGGGGATTGAGGGTGGATGTAGACACAACTTGGGCTTTGGGGCTCTGGCTTCCCACCGGGGATCCACTCTCCATTTACGTATTTCCAGCGATTCCCATCTGCAGCCACAAAGTCCAGCAGGATCGAGTACATGGAGTTGGGGTCCAGGCCTGAGATGCTGACTTTCAGCACAGGAAACATTCTCCTAGGACGGGACGGGAGGAGGAGATGATCAGTCACCTGCTTCTCCTTTTTTCACTTCCTCACTCCTCTCATCAGTCCCTAAAGCCATATTGGCATTTCAGTGGTTAAACCAGTGGTTCTTGCCTGCTGGCTCTCAGGGCAGCCCTGGTGCTGCAGACTCCCACTCTAGCCTGCTCCTGGGGTCTGGCACAGCTGCCTCCCACTCTCCCATTCATGCATGTCCTGGGAGCACAGCCTCTCCTTGTGATCCAGCAGAGAGGGGATAACACAGGTCGGGCCCATTTCACAGCCTGGGACAGGTCACCAGTGCTGCGTAGCCAGGCCCATCAAGCCATCCAGTAATCGCTGTGGTGATTCCAGTAACCAGGAAGCGGCAATAAAGGGTGGGGCCTTATTTTCATTTGAGCCTAATCAATCTAGCCCTTTGCTCCCACTTTTCTTTCCTTTGCAACCGAGCAGGCACGTCTACCTCTGGTGGCGTAACAGAGGGGAAATGCCTAGAAACAACTTATCCTTCCCTTGTGCCCTCTACCTTCCATCACATCAAAATGATCAGATCTTGTTGTTTCCCTCAATCTTTCTCGAGGGTTGGGGGTGGCTCCCCTGTTTGGGAGCCCCGATTTCTCCTCACCAGAGGCCTTTGTAACCACTCACAGCCACCAGCAGCCTCTTCTCTGCAGCATTTGCTGCACTTTTCCATCCCAGGAGAGCTTGTCCTCCATGCAGAGAGACGCCACAAAGACCCCACCTCACTAACCTCCCACTTTGAGCACAGGCCCCACTTAGCTGAAGGGAAAATGAGGTACATGAGACAAAGGTCACCATGCTGCTCTGCTACCTCTCACTGTGTGTGTGATTGACAACCAAATCCAGCTGTCCTGAGCCATGCCAGAAACCCCACACCTTCCCACGGGACACATCTGGAGATGAGGGGTCTTGTCTAGGATGCTATAGCCAGGGCTGTTCCTGCCTTGAGCAGGGGTTGGAAGCAATGGACTCCTGAGGACGCTGCCAGCCCAATTTTCTCAGAGGACTTCTTGAAAAAACCCAGGTTTGCAGGCTAGAGGCCACAGCTTCTGAACCTGCCCCATCTCAGGGAGAGGTGGTTTCTAACCTACCATTGGTACAGGGTTTGCCCTCAGCACAGAGGAGTGGTATATTTTCCAAGGGACTAGGGGCCATATTCTGATCTGGAATACGTGGGTGCCATTCAGCTAGAGTGCATGTAAGAGGTGGACATGGGCTGTCTCTAACTGCGTCTCTGCAGCACTTGGCACTGGAGAGATCTGGCCTCAGCTGGGTAATTTCCCCTGTCTAGAGCGATCCGTCTGGGCCTGGTCTCTCCAGGGTGAAATTGTCCCATTCTGTTTCCCTCAGGACAACAAAGACTCTCTCGTGCACATGCATTGAGTCATCTCCATCCAATTCAAATGCAAGTCCTAACCAGAGGTAAATGCTGTGCTCTCCTGGACATTGTCTGCCTATCCTGCCTGCAAAGGAAACACAATTCCTGTCGGGGAGAGAGAGAGGGGCAAATCAACTGTGGTTTTCAAGTAAGGTGCTTCCTGACCCCCAGAGCTGGAAGTCACATCACAAATTGCTCAGAGGCTTGACAGCCACCAAACCACCAGTGGCACCGTCCTGAAGACAGCATGTGAACATTTAAAAGTAGGTCTCTGAGGCTTAGCTGCCGTGACAAGAGGCACCTTCTAGGTGCTTAAGGAAGTGGGGGAAGGTGGTAATGGGGGCAGCTCAGAGGGGTCCAGAGAAGCCTTTCACTCACCGGCCCATCTTGGTGACGATCATCTCATTGGTGAGCTCCTTGAAGTTCGTCCACAGCTCCTTCTCCTCCAGCTCCACCTTGATCTCCCTCTCCAAGGCATCCCCCTTCTCGCTGCTCACTTCCAGCCCACTCTCCACCGCGCTGAAGACGTGGTCCAGCTGCTGGTGGCTGGGAGCTGAGCTCATGGTGTCCGACGTCCCCGTGGCCCTGCTCCTCAAGTCTTACGCCCCAGCCCTTGAGCCCAGTGTTGGGAGTTGGGCCCCAGCCTTGCTTGTCAGGCATCAGGACTCATTGAGGAGGGGTTGGAGTCCCCCCTGGGATTTAAACCTCTTCTACAGCAAGCCCAGAGGCCCAGTTCCTTTCTCACTGGCTGGAAGCCTTAGCAGGTGCCCCTCCCTGCCTGGGCCAAGGTGGGTGAGGCAGGGATTGGGCAGCCTGGGGTGGGGGGAGCTATGTGTGGGCCTGCAACTTCTCAGCTCGGTGATGGAGGGGGAAATGCTTTGATGTCTGTGTGAAACTCAGTGGGAAACCCAAGCCACCTCCCAGCATTGGCAATAGGTTCATCCTTCCCACACAGGCCCCTCCTGGGGGGCAGGTGTGGGGCAGAGATTGCCCTGCCATTGACAGCTGATCACCTTTCATCCACAGCCTTCAGCGTGAGCCAAAGAGCCCAGGACCCCCATCCCAGGGCTGGGGCAGGGGGGAGAACCAGGCCACACCAAGGACTTGACCACACTTGGAAAATATATCCGCCAAGTAACCCGAGAGAAACCCGTGGGGGGTGGCAAGAAGGGGCTGAGCACAGCTGGAAGGGGGGAGCCCAGCCATGCGAGTCCCAGTCCAGCTGCTCAGACAGTAGGATGTGCTCCATTTTGCCTTAACAATGCCTGTCCTTGAGTCCCAGGGGCAGACCTGTAAGGACACCTATCCCCATTTAATGGAAGGGCACCTGGAACCTCGGGGGCTAAAAGCTGCTGCCGAGAGGGTTTGGACACCCAGTCTCATAGGCCTGGGGGTGAGAGGCACGGCCTCTGAATCAGAGCTTTCCAGCCGTTAAATGCTGGAGGCTGCAAGTGAGAGAGGAACAGGGGGGAAATATCCTGGTCAGACCTAGGTCACTCTCCCTTCTGGCTGCAGTGCAATACAGGAGACAGGGCAAGAGGGACCCGGGGTCTCACACAGTCCATGGCCGTGCTTATGTTCTTCAGCACTGCTGGAAATCTCTAGTTAAGTGACTTGCTGAAGGCCCCATGGAGAGTCTGTGGCAGAGGCAAGGAGGGAACCCTGGTCTCAGCTCCAGGCCCTTCAGTTTGTTTCCCTCTGTTGTGCCTTGCCTGGCAGCTCTCAGCGTGCTTTGCTGGCCCCCACTCTCAGGAGTTGAAGGAGCTGCTCGGGGTGGTGACCCACCACTTACATGTGAAATCTAGCAGGGGGCTGGCAGCCCCGCTGCAGTGTCGTGGAGCTCCCAGCTCAGGATGTGGCTGGTGAGGGAGGGCAGGAGCAGGGGTCGTGTTCCTGGTGATGGATACATTGGTTCCAGCGTTCAGAAGTAAAAGGCACTGGTGCTTAGTTTGCAGCTGAACTGAGCCCCATTGGGAGCAGAGTCCAAGTAACGGCCTTTCCCATTGGTGAGACGGGTTGATGAGGAGATTTCTACCCTGCAGATGGCTTTATTCTTCCATTGACACCTCTCATCTTTTAACCAATTTTCCATTTCCCCTTAGACGCATCCAGCAAAGTATCCCCACCTCCTAGAAATCCAGGGATAGAGGCAATGTTCCAACGTAGACCTGCAGTGCCAGGTCTGACTGGTGCCCAGCACACTGGGTGTCTTGTACCCCTGAGAAGCCAGCGCTTGATGCTTTGGATTCATAGGTTCATAGATTGTATTCATAGATCTGGCATTTAGAGGGCATTGAGAAAGAGCATGGCATGCTTCCCTTTGGTGGGATGCCCTGTCCCCAGGCCTCCAGGAGGACCAGGCCTGGTGGATTTGCAGCAACACTAGAAAACCTCCAAGGTGCAGCAGCGCATGGTGACGAGTTCTGTGCATAGGGCCCCTGCACCTGTCTGACAGCTCAGGCGTCCTGCCCACTTCCCTTCTTAAGTGCCTGCTTTTGTTTACACGGCAGGGTCAAACCAGAAGTCATTAGCCTGTTCTACCTGGTGTTTAGCTAAGGCTTCCTAAGACCTGGGGAAAGGCATTTTGTGTCTGAAAGTTTGCCTAGCCTCTCTCCAGGCTGTAACACTGGTCCAATAAAAGATATTGCCAAAGCAACACTAGGGCACCTCTTCTGATTCCTCACTGGCAGTCACTCTGCCACCGCTGCCTCCCGTTCTGCATTAGGAATACAAACCCAGCCTCAAAGGCCTTCCCCTGGTTTCCAGTCTGATAGGGGAGGTGTCCTGCTTCTCTTCTCCCAAGTAGTTCTGCTTAATCTCCCCCACCAGGGGTGGGAGACTTAGGGGCAGATTCGATCGCAGGGACAAACAGCAACTTCTGTGGCGCTCTTTGGAGACAATGGAGGTCACTTTGGTCCATGCAGGGCAAGCAGTGATGTTTGAATCCTGACACCTGGGGGCCTGCTGAGACGAGCCTTATCTACAGCAGACAGGTGCTGGGAATTACGCCAAGGAGCTGAGAAATTCATCAGGCCATTTACAAGGAGATGGATCTGTTGGAAGAGCAGATGCCCACAGCCACTGACTTAGCTGCCCTCAGGCTCCCATCTGAGGGTCATGGGTGGTTTGCAGGGTCCCCAGGGGAAGTACTGGGGGGGTGACAGCTCTGTGAATGGGCTCCCAATCCATCCTGCCAGCTGGGGCACCTGGGAGAGATCTGGACTCTCCTGGAGTTCCCTCTTGACTGCAGGGAGTGCAGACTTGAGCTGGGATGCCCTCACCTGGCAGTGGAGCCTCAGGTGGCCACTTTTGCCGCTACAGGCCGACCCTACAAGATCTGACCCAAACCCTTACCCCTGATCTCATGTCCAAGCCCTGGGCCCATCTGAAAATTGGTACTGCTTGGAGATCTCTCTCTCACACACACACAATTCTCCATTTCTCTTCTGCTGTAGGATTTGTCCATACTTCCCCTTGGAGAAAGCTCCAGGACCACACAGAAAAGGCCATTGTCTGGTTCAGCTGGAAGCACCATAAGTCTCACGAGGAAGCGAACAAGAGCACGCAACTCCGCAGCACAGGTGAGTGGGAGAGCGTCCCACAGAGGAGCAGTCAAAGCCCAGAGCAGAGGTAGGCAGTGCTGTTCTCGGAAGGGCCTGGATTTTATCTCAGGGCTGCGAGTGGCGACGGCCCACCTGCTGTCATTGCTGTTTTCCTGGATGTTCTGTTCTGTGTTCTACTACTTCAAAAAATAGCACCTTTGGCTGCCAACAGCTGCATGCTTCTAATGCAGGGGTGGCCAGGGTTGAGATTTATAAAAGGCAAATCTTTGCATCTGCAAGAACTTGCAGCAGCTTCTTGCTTCAGTTCCACACCAACTGATGGGCGGTAGATCTGACACGGAGTGCCTAAATGCCATATGCATTGTCTTCTGGTGTCGTGTACTCCTTCCTGCAGTGTTTTCCTTGTCCTCTGGTTTCTGATCCTGAAACCTGTATTTATGCGAGTGGTCTCATGAGTGCCTGGTGTACTGAGGAGCTGGCTTCAGGGGGTTTTAGCCGCCTGGAGTGATGTAGTGTAGCCCTGACTTGAAATCTGCTTCAGCTGAACTGACTGACTGGGGCTGCAGCTGCATCTTCTGGAGCTAAATGCTACCTGGCTGACATGCCAGGGGCTTGGAAACACCTGAGTCTCATCCACTCAGAGCTCTCTAGTTCATGGCCACCATTAATGCAGCATCTGAGGACCCCTTTAACACTCACCATCCTCAAGGCAGGGAGAGAAGTGATGCATCTTGATTTTATATATATATATATATATATAATATGTGTGTATGTAGAGAGAGAGAGAGCAGTGGGTCTCAATCTTCGTAGACTTGAAGCACCACTTGAGAGACTTAAGCCCCCAGTAAACTCTCAGCCCGCCTGGGAAAATGCCAGCTTTAGATTCCACTCCATTTTTGACTACAGAAAAATTACAGAGCAGTTTTTCTGTTGCAAAGAACTCAGAAAACCCCCAGCTTCTTTTGGTCTATTTGAAGTCTCTGGTTTTATCTTATGAATCACATTTGTGCACCTAACAGTGCTAACATTGTGGAGCGCCCCACAGCCCCTGGAAAGGATCTTAAGGCCATGGCACCATGGTTGAGAATCACTGATCTAGAGAAAACCCAAGGGACATGGCCAGGGCCCTAAGTCAGTGACAGAACAGTCCTGGGCCACAGCAGGGGTGTCCCAAGTGCTGACTAGAGCACTGCCCACGCAGCCACGCTTCCTCTGGCTGTGCTTGCAAAAGGTGTCGTTCTTCCACCCAGGAGCCAGGGACATGGTCCTACCAACACGCACATGTGTAACTTTGCACCCCTAGTTCACTCCCTCAACTGCAATTCACGTGCACGTGGCTCTGTGCACAGGTAACGTGTCAGCTCGAGCACATGCTGGGCCATTCCTGCGTAACATTTAATTGTGGTGATGGGCTTCGTCTGGCAGTGGAAGCAGAGCAAAGCATCAGCTTTCTGCACACGGCATGGGGCTTTGACCCACCTGAATGGGCCGAAGGGCAGCACTGGGGTCTTGCATCGCCTGAGATTTGTGACCGCCTCTTGATGGCTGCCGTCCTGCCTGGGGTGTTTGTCAGCATGGAGGAGGTGATGAGGGTGGCAGTGTGTCAGTCCCTGCCCCTGTTGAAGTGCCGGGTTTGGGCTGCACATGCCACAGGCAGGGCTGCCACCTTCCAGTGTCCCCAGGTCATTTGACTGCTTAAGAGCTGGATTCTTCTCTCCATCTTGTGGGTCTGGAGCCCTTTGGCACCATGTTTCCCAGCATCTCTTCACACTTGGGGCCACTTGCCGGCACCTTTGGTGGGAACGGGCTGAGCTTGGGTATCGCTGAACCTCAGGACTGGAGCTTTCAGCACGGCAATGACGGGGCTCTCGATACATCACAAGGACGGGCCAGGGTGACTAAAAGCCATGCCAGGGGCACCTGCCTGCTGCTGCATGTGTATAGTAGGACTGAGGCCTGGCATTCGGAGGGATTAGGCAGGGCTGGCTCAACAAGTAACCATGGCTGTAGGGTGAAAGGGGCTGGTGTCTTTGGGTACCCAAGCTGGCTGGGCGGTTGGGAAGACGTACTCGAACAGGTTTGCCGGTTGGTAAGCTACGGTTTCTGCGTCATCAAAGAGGAGGTTGCACCATGCGCTGCCTGGGACTGAATGCCAGGGACTTCCTGTGCCCAGCAGGAGAGAAGGGGCTGTCTGCCCCCCTTGGGATGAAAGGGCTTGGGAGGTGGGGGATGCACCTCCATGAAGTGATGCTGTTGGAAGGACATGCAAACCTTCAAGGCAGCTGAGCTCCAAGCCTGTCCCCTTCCCCATCAGGCCCTCTGGCAACAGCTGAGCCTTTTGAAGTGCCTTGCCCTGGGGGGGAGAGGGGGGGGAACAGCTGCCAGGGATGGAGGGGGCAGGGCAGGCAGAGATCAAAGCCCTCTGCCTTTAGTGCAGGGTAACAGTAGGGTGGAGACAATAAGGCTCCTGCAGCTCTGCCCTGGGTGGTTTCCTGCCACAGCTGCCTTGACTGACCTGCCATGGGCCACCTTGACCAGTGCACTCACCCAGGCGGGCCTCAAAGGCAGCTCAGGCCATCACACCCTCTCTGCCCTTCCCTTCTGAGCTGGGAGCCCCATCCCATCCCCTTTCAGCTCTTCACAGGTACATGCTGTGCTGGGTGATCTC